TACTGGACCCCCTCTACATGTGCTGCAGCCGATCAATAATTCAGTGTGTGTGACTGTGTGTGTGTTTGAGAAGCTTTCTGTAAGCATAAGGAACTCTTAGTGGCTGCACTCATGTCATCAATAAAACACACACACACACACACACACACACACACACACACACACACACACACACACACACACACTGAGGCGAGACTTACTTCCCCCTCCAGGAGTGTTTGGTTGTGTAGAAACAGGCCAGATCTCTGTTGTCTTTGAGGATATTCATCTTGACACACGGCCTGCAGAGAGAAAGTGGAGCATCACTGACTGTCAGAAACACACACGCGCACAGCAGGTTCACTTCTGCTCAAACGGCACGCGCACACGCACACACACACACTCACACTCTCCTGGACACTGGTTTTGGATGAACTATGGCTTTAATACAGGTCTGCTCATTCCTCATTTGAGGGCAAAACGAACTTACGTCCTCTCTCACACACACACACACACACACACACACACACACACACACACACACACACACACACACACACACTGCTGCAAACCCGCAGATCATCATCAATAACAGCAGACGGAGGAGAAACTGCACACCGACACAGCTACTAATATACCTGCAGAGCTACTGTAGCAGGAACACACTCCATTACTGTGTGTGCGTGTGTGTGTGTGTGTGTGTGTGTGTGTGTGTTCAAACACTGAAGAAGGAAGCCTCTTTACACATCAGTGTGATCAAACCGTCCTCATTCTTCAGTCCAGCCACACCGCTAGCACACTACAGCATGCACACTTCACAGGGAGCACTCAGATTCCTCACCACTGATACACACACACACACACACACACACACACACAGTACAGGTTTATCACTTGTGTTCAGCAGAGTAAAGGAGAACACTGTACAGTGGTCAGAGCTCAGAGTCAGCGTTCAGCCGACAGAGATGAAGATATTCACCATGATCACTCAGAGAGAGAGAGAGAGAGAGAGAGAGAGAGAGAGAGAGAGAGAGAGTGTGTGTGTGTGTGTGTGTGTGCAGACACACTCTGCTCCATCTACAGTATTACTCCTCCTCGGTGGTCTGGAGGACGCGCAGCACCACTGAAACACACACACACACACACACACACACAAACACACACACACACACAGTTAATGCTGTCTTCTGCTTCACACACAGCAGATAGAGATGATCGCCGCCTCCTGAGCTGTGCAGTACGGCCACACACACCCAATAAACACCCACAGCTCATATTACACTGTGTTACTCCACCAACACGGTGATCAATACCAACATCAGGAGGAGCTCCGACACACACACAGTCCACACCTGAAGAGGAGCGTCCACACATTCAATATCCACACTGACCACACGAGCAGAAGAGGGAGTATACAGGACACACACACACACACACACACACTCAGATGACCAGCTCCACCATACAGCAGGAGAGTGTGTGTGTGTGCGCTCCATCACCGCAGCACTGACCGACACACACACACACACACACACACATACATACTGACCGCTGCTGTGTTCTGTACCCTGGTGTTTCTGCAGTGTGTGTTGTGTATAGTGTGTGATTGTGTATAGTGTGTGTGTGTGTGTGTGTGTGTGTGTGTGTCGGCAGTGGCCTGATCTCTCCGCCCGCAGCCCGTCTCTCTCTCTCCCTCTCCCGCTGCTGTACCTGTGTTTCCGCGCTCTCGGTCGCGGCTCGGTTGAGTCTCCGGTGTTCCGGTGCTCCGGTACTGCTGTCTACCAGCGGTCGCTGATGCCGAACTGAAGCCCACACTGCAGACTGCGCTCCACTCACTCACAAAACTCAGGACGCCGCCATCTTCCTTCTGCCTCCAGCGGGCCACTGCGCATGCGCACCGCGGCACACTCATGCGTCTGTCAGCTGATCGCTCGGGCCGGAAGTCCAGTTCGCTGGTCAGGCTGATGGTCATTATTTTAATGGCTTGTCCGACTTTATTCTGACTTAGACAATTATTTAGATATATCCCAATAAACTCACAGTAGTTATTTAAAAAAAGCACCGGTCAAACCTTTAAATGTACTCGGATTAGAAGTATTATTATAACTACAGAGTGTTTACTGGGAGTTACACCTCTAAATAATCATAAATACATATAAATCAGTTATAAACCAATTAAATATCATCGAGGTTAGAGCCCCTTGTGTCTGTAACTGATGACAGAACTGCATTATTGGGTGAGCTGACCCTATAATATACAGCAGCAGACACGGCCACTGATCTGAAGCTCACACCACTGTCCTCACCCTGACCCTGACTACTGTAACCATGACGACTACAGTAACCATGACGACTACTGTAACCATGACGACTACTGTAACCATGACGACTGCTGTAACCATACTGTAACCATGACGACTACTGTAACCATACTGTAAGCATGACAACTACAGTAACCATGACGACTGCTGTAACCATACTGTAACAATGACAACTACTGTAACCAATGGCAAGTACTGTAACCATGGCGACTAACCCTGAACACTACTGTAACCATGACGACTGCTGTAACCATGACGACTGCTGTAACCATACTGTAACCATGACGACTACAGTAACCATGACGACTGCTGTAACCATACTGTAACCATGACGACTGCTGTAACCATACTGTAACAATGACAACTACTGTAACCAATGGCAAGTACTGTAACCATGGCGACTAACCCTGAACACTACTGTAACCATGACGACTACAGTAACCAATGACAAGTACTGTAACCATGACGACTAACCCTGAACACTACTGTAACCATGACGACTACTGTAACCATGACGACGACTGTAACCAATGATGAGTACTGTAACAATGACAACTACTGTAACCAATGGCAAGTACTGTAACCCTGATGAGTACAGTGTAAAGCACAGCTCTGGGCTTCTTCAGTGTTTAAACACACACACACACACACACACACACACACACACAGACGTTCAGTCGGTGAACAGGCAGTTCACAGTGGTCTAGCAGACGGATCAGGTCAGGAACCCGCTGCAGTGTAATGCAGGTCTGACTGTGAGTGTGTGCCGCTTCATCAGGACACCGCCTGCGCTTCCTCAGTGCTGTAAAAGACTGCGTGTTTGTGTGTGTGTGTGTGTGTGTGTGTGTG